AAATCATGTCATTTTTGAAAGATCAGACCTCGAACTATCTTCCTCTGCATTTATCTCAATTTTCATGCTTTTCACCAAAAATCGACTTTTCTGAGCGGGGGTAGGTTTTCTTTAATTTTTCATAATTTCGGCTATTCTTGATAGTGGTAGTGAGACAACTGCCGGCTTCCTTTATTTCTTTAGTAGTACTATCTATCTCAATACGCAAAATCATTCCAGCGAAAAATGAAAATTTAAAAAAAAATCGGAGCTAAATTGTACAAATGGCTTGCAATCGTCTCATGTGTATTTTTGTTGACAATTTCAAAATTATCTAATGACTATTAGAAATTTATTTTTAGGCAAAATGTCAATTAAGAACTCTTCATTTTAAATTAATATAGAATTCTACAATAGACTTTGACTGTCTTCTTTTTTTTTTTCATATCTGACTAACCGATTACAATAATAAATAGCATTATTAGAATCAATTTGTATAGCTGCATTATATGTTTCAAGAGCTTCTTTATATTTTTCTTGTTTAATAAATTCATTTCCTTGATTTTTAAATTTATCTGCTTGTTGTCTCATATCATCCGTTAATAATTTTTTCGTTGACTAGAACAAAAATAAAAAAATTAATATTTCATTAAATAATTCTTTTTTTTATTTCTATCAAAATTTTCATTACCGATTTATTGGGTATAACTGATAGAAGATCTACATGTTGACCATAAATTGAATCATTTTGTGGATTAGCAAGAGAAACATCAAATGATGCTTCAAGACATTGAACAGCAACTAGAAAATAAATATTTATTTAATTGGTCAAATATTATAATTGAATCTACCTTCAATACTCTCTCGTCTTTCAATATTTCCACATTCAGTTTGTATTTCTCTATCGAGAAATTTTAAAATTGAATAAACTAAACGTTGTTTTTTTAACTGGTCTTGTGCCATATTTGTTTTTTATCTATTGATGAAAAAAAAAAAAAATAACTAAAAAATTGTGAAAGAGATGACTCATCAACAATTCTTATTGGTTTTACTACCATTACATTATATATGATGCCTTTTAGAAAAAAATAGAATTTGTGTTATATTCATTTATTGATTGAAAGGATAATAGTCAATAATGAAAAGAAAACGACAAAAACAAAAGCATCGAAATTCAAATAAATTAATTAATTCCAATCAATCATCTCAAATAATAACAAAAAATTTTTCAATATTTGTAACAGATTTTCTTACTGATCCATGTGGTTTACCTAATGAATTAAAAGATTGTATCTTAGTCGATGAAACAAATGAAGGTTTGACATTTTGAATTTTTTTCAAAAAAAAAAGAAAAAGAAAAACATCACAAACTAAATCATTTTTATTTTAGATATTTATTTAAGGAATACAAGACAAGTTTAAAAAAACAATCTTCACAAATTCATTAGTTATTGAAAGCAAAATCCCTTATGCAAAGAAAAAAAAAACAAAAAGTTGATTAAATTTGTATATATTGTAAATTTGTATTAATCACAATATATACAGATAATTAAATTAATAATGTCTTTGTGCTGAAATATAATAAATAACTTGTTATGATATTATTTTCTTATGTAAAAATCAATAGACATATATATATATAAATTTTGAAAGAAGAATATTAATTAATGTGATTCGAATCGAACAAAAAAGACTATCCTCTCTCATATGCGAACATAAAATCGAAAATTTTAAAAATGCAAAATTCAATTTTATTTCATTCTTCAAATAGAAGCAATTCAAAGTTTCAAATTTTTATTCTTTAAGTTATTAGAAAACTTTATTTGAACTTAAGAAATTAATTTCATGATCTGAATTATTTCTAGAAAGTCAATCGAAAATAAAAAAATCTACTTTTTTTTTTAATTTACAAAAATTTACTGATACGAATTTTAATAAGAATTATAATTTCACTTTCGTTTTAATAAATTGAAATTTGTAGAGTTCGCTAATGTTTTCTATATATTTTTGTGGAATATACCTATATGCATTATATTAGAATCATTATGAACTGAGAAAAACAGTTAATCTGTTATATATATATTCGATTAATTAATAATCATTTCATAGAATTATTGGTAATAAAGATATTTTGCGTATTATTATTAATTATATAGTCAATCATGAATATTGACACAAAAAATACATACATTCGCGCGCAAGGATATTGATTGAAAAAAAATTGTTCGTAAATAAAAATAATAAATTATCATCTTACATTGTACTGAAATACTTTAGAAACTTTTCTTCGGCGACGATTAATTTTTTTTTGTTTATAAAAAAAAAATTTTTTTTTTCCATCAACATCCCTTACTCGTGAAAATGTATGTATTTCTTGTGTCAATGTTTATAACTGACTGTATAGTTAATAAACAATACATATAATACTCGAACGCTAGACCGTAGGCAAATAATCATTGATAAAAATTGGAAAGAATAAATGTACAATTTATTTTTTGTTTTTTGAAGCATGCAGTGAAAATCGTTGATAGATCGGAAAGGTGAGATTCAATTTTATGAGATGCACTTACAATCTACATATTGGTAATTCAAAATATATATGGGTATATAACACAGACATCAATACAATTCGATTAGGGAGGAAGAGAACAGGGTGATTTTCTTCTTTCTGAATTACTCGCTTGGAAATTTTTTATAACATTTTAAATCCTTTATTTATGTAGATTGCTTATGTAACAGTGAAGTTTTATTTGCAGTTCTTTTCAAAAAAAAACAAATGATTTTCTTTCATTGAAAAATTTAATCACATCATATTTAGAAGAATAATTTATCGAAAACACAGAACAATCATCAAAATAAATGAAATTCATTTAATCGATATTGCAAAAAATAATGTGCGAAATTCAGTTCAATATGCGGACAGCAGCTTCAAGTGTACGTTTTTTGGATATGATACTTATAAGACTTTCGTAGGATACTATAAGCCCTGTAATGTGTTAGTCTTTATAATGAAATATTTTCATAGATATATCATAAACACGTACGAGTTCAAAGAAATAACATATACGTATGTGTTAAAATATTTTATTGCGAAGACTAACACATTTTTAAAAAATTTACCTAGGGGGTCAACGGTTCGTAAGAGAGGGAGTAAAGCAGGGTCAATTTTTTAAGTGAAGCAATAAAATGTTAAATGAATCTATTTTGTTATTGTTTGCAATAGTCTAGGGTGCAGGTGAAGAGAAAATAAATGCAGGCCTCGCAGCGTGTTTACTTTCCTGATTTATTCCTGATTTTTTAAGACTGTCCTGATTTTCCTGTTTTTGACCAAAAATCCTGATGTTGTCCTGATTTTTCCTGACTTACCAATATAGAGCCTTTCTTTTGGCATTATTATGATATCTTGGATGTTCTTAAACGAGCCCCTATCGAGATTCATATTAAAATAGGTGCAAAATATTTC